GGGGAATGGGGGAAGTTTGGAATGTGGGAGCTGAGAGCAGAATTCCCACCTATGGAAAACGGGGCTGGGATGAGGGTTCGGAACGGGGGAATTCCTTGGGGAAAAGGAGCTCTGGGATGGGAGGAGCGCCAGAATTCCCAGGAATTCCCAGGAATCCCATGGAATTATTCCCAGGAATTCCCATGGAATTAATCCCAATAATCCCATGGAATAATTCCCACCTTGCTGCACGATCTATCAGAGACCGGGAGATGGAAAACGGGGCTGGAATGAGGGTTCGGAACGGGGGAATTCCTTGGGGAAAAGGAGTTTTGGGATGGGAGGAGCGCCAGAATTCCCAGGAATTCCCAGGAATTCCCATGGAATTATTCCCAGGAATTCCCATGGAATTAATCCCAATAATCCCATGGAATAATTCCCACCTTGCTGCACGATCTATCAGAGACCGGGAAATGGAAAACGGGGCTGGGATGAGGGTTCGGAACGGGGGAATTCCTTGGGGAAAAGGAGTTTTGGGATGGGAGGAGCGCCAGAATTCCCAGGAATTCCCAGGAATCCCCATGGAATACTTCCCACCTTGCTGCATGATCTCCACGATCTGCACCACCCTGTCCATGTGCTTGCGGGCGGCGATCAGCCCCTGCAGCATCAGCATCTTGTAGTAGTTGAACATGTCCCCGTCCAGGCCGCCCATCACCTGCCGGGAGGGGAGGGGGGGAAAAAAAAACCGGGAATGGCCGGGGAAAAAAAAAACCGGGAATGGCCGGGAATTCCCACGGGGAATGTCCTGGGGAACTCACGTCCACGAACTCGGTGGTGAGCTTGAAGGCGGAGGTCTCGAAGCCGAGGTTGCGGGGGGAGCTGGAGAGGATGAAGCCGAAGTCGATGTGGATGATGTGGCCCTCCGAGTCCAGCAGGATGTTCCCGTTGTGCCTGCGGGGAATTCCAGGGAATTCCTGGGAATTCTGAGCTGGGAATGGCGGGATCTCGAGGTGGGGGAGGAGGGGGG